TATTTTTCTTCGATTACAGAGAGGAAATATGGAGAACGTAATTTGCAGATCGTAGCCGATTGTATCGACGCCGAGATACGTACGCAGGGATCCGCAGTGATTTTCGAGCTTCGCAACCCTTATAGAAATCGAAATTTTTTGTTATATTATTTTATTATATTTTTATTTTTATTTTTATTTTTATTTTTATTATATTATTATATTATTTTATTATATTATTATATTATATTATATCTCGGTATTATATCGGTTACGGTACAGTTTCGCTGGAATAATATCGGTATCAAAATCGTACCGGTATAAAGTTCCTACGAGTATGCCGCCGAAGCCGCAGCGAAATATAATCTACAGTCGATTGATATGACCGTCAACAGAAATTAAAACACTGTTCCCTATAGCTACAGTGATTCGCGTTAACATTCGGACAGCTTTTAAAGCAGAATAGCTTGTTTAACATTAAAATTACCCAGTCCTAAACGCGACTAATGTACACTGTTTTATAGAAATTACAAGATTGGATTTATGTAAACTTTTTAGGATATTTATTATAACACAGTAATTTCTCCCGGAAATGCCAAACTTTGGGTTGCTGTGAATTTCCCCGCGCGAGTCCTACGACTGTAATTTATTGCTACGTCTGTGCTAAGGATCGAGGGAGCGGTCAAGCGTGTGATGCGGCACGCGACGCGAATTCCCGAAAGACAAGACAAAATGGTCTATTTGGGTGCGAGTCAGGTAAGAAAAACCGCGGAACTACGAGGTACGTGCTAGGTATTAGGTACGCGTCCGTCGAATCGTGTCACGTGGCCTCCGAATTGCCTTCGAATCGTGGCAAAAAATTAGAAATGAAAAAGTTAAATCATCGTTTTTATTCTTGAATTACTATGTGTTCACATTAACGTACACCGGCATGCTGGCTGCTGCATTTTTTGCCGACTGCCCCGAGTTTCTATAAAAACGAGCCGCGAGACTCGAAGAATCGCGACTCAGTATTCTGAGATCTACCGGTTTTTCAATTCCGACCTCCGAACATTTCTGGCAGAAATTACTGTATTTAGCCGTAGTAGCATTAAATGCAAGCATTTCGTAGAACGCCTCGCGTTTTTAGGCAAAATGTGAAATATTCGAGAATTTTCTTTTTTTTCTCCTGATTTGTACTTATGCGATTATTGTATAAATCTCTCTATTTGTTACTAACTTCTTCTGCAACAGTTTTCCTACTCGTACACGTGAATAAATTATTATTATTATTTTTATGTTATTATTAAGTATTATTTTAATATTGTCCAGTCGTTTTCGGCTGGCGGTTCTAGCATTGAAAGTGGACGAAACGATTTTCATATTTTTGAGATTTTACAGGGACTAGTTCGATTTGAAAAAAGGTTATCCCGTGTTAAAAGGTGTCCGAATATTAATGCGAGCATCCCGATAGTAGAAAACGAATCCGTGTCCGGGTTTCATCGAATTGGGAATCGTTCGGAGCGTTCCAGAATTCACATTTCTCATTTCGCGTGTCGCATTTTCGTTTTATCGATCCCGTTACCTCGTCCTCGCTCCCGAAAACTGCTAATTATTCGCCGTCTTCTCGTCGGGTCAGGATTGTTACAGTTTTTATCGACGAGCGAGAACCGAGGAGGAGCCTAGAAGCTCGTAAAAACGAACGATCCGCCCGCCGTTCGTTCTCGCGACTCTATATCGGCACCTCGTTTCCACGTTAGGAACGGTTCCAATGGCACCGTCTCGATCCTCGGCGAGCGCGGCTCGTGAATCGCTCGACTCCGCGACGAACAAGAACTTTAACCCTTTGCACTCTGTTGTCCCCTCTCGTGGGACATCGTAATTCTAGCATATCGCTCGGATGTCCCCTCTCGTGGGACATTCAAGTTTATTAGCGATCACGGGGAATCGAGTTACTTCGGCGCAACTTTTTCAGACATGCTTGTTTCCATGAAGTTTCCCCTTGAAACGGCGCAAGAAATCAAATGAAAATATAGTAAAATTACTAAGATATATACAAGAAATGTCAGCGGGTTTTGACGAGAACGCGAGAGGCGTGCTCACGACGGTCCGAGCACTTCGAAGGCGCCATTTGAAAAGAGCGATGAGGCAAGATTGTAGAAGAAAGATCGGTATGCGAACATAGCACGCACTGTACAGTGAGATTTATAATCATAAAATCTGGAGGAAAAGATTTTCAAAGCTGAACTCGGTCTGGTTCGAAGCGTCGAGCGGTATAGATAGATCTAACGAGTGAGAAAATCGGAAAAGTGATTCTTCTCTTGGTAAATAAATTGTTTGGTAAAAGTTTTTTTTGGTAAATATCATCTTGCGAGTTAGTGATAACGATTAGAAATTTTCAACCTATGTATTTATTCGTATTTTTTATTAGAACAATGACAAAACGTTCGAACACGAATGAGTCTCGTGACACAAGTAGTAGCGAAGACGAGCTCGACCATTTTCTCGTCGAAAAAAAAAAGATTTTCGATTTAACAGACACCGGTGAGCGGCTTGGACAAAATATGTAAATGTAGCGGAGAATATCTGGGCTCGTTTATCTGCTCGAAAATATGAGCCCCCTAAGTCGAGGCAGAGGCTTGCGTAACCTCGGTCCGAGTTAGAATCCTGCTATCGTTTCTGTAATTATGGTTCACCGTCTCTTCCACACGGGGTCATACTTGCCGCGAGCGGCGAATGGCGACCGCAGCCGCAGCCGCAGTCGCAGTCCCGGCCCCGGCCCCGGCCCGAGCCGGCCCGAGCCAAGCCGTGGCGGAGTGCTAAATACTTATTATCCGCGAGCACGCAACGTCCCAGTTCCTCGACGCTAATTGGAACCGAGCAGATCGAGCAAGGGTTTTAGTTAAAACACCGGACTCTGGTTTGCCGGATCGAGATCGCGAAACGTCACGTCACGAGCTCACCCTTAGCACACACCCACCCCGCACACACCATTCTTTCCTCGTTTATTACTCACGCCGTTGACCCGCCCCCTGCTCGCTTTGGTAAAAGTTCAGGTTTGATTTCATGCAGAGATCGTGTGGTTTCGTACGTGTATTAAAAATTACACGTGTACGTACACTTTGTACACACGCGTACAGTAATGTCTCTCCCTCTCCAATTGACGCCCAAATTGTGCAGAAAAATGGACAATTTGGGAAGAGGAGATACGATTATTCGAGCCTTGCGGCTCGTTTTTATAATTGTTGTTTATAGAGTTGTTCGGTAACTATAGAAAATTAACCGCAAGACTCGAGTAATCGTATCTCCTCTTCCCAAATTGTCCATTTTTATGGACAATAATGTAGCCTTGCAGCTCGCTTTTATGGTTGTTGACAATTCGTAACTATAATAATAGCCTTGCAGCTCACTTGTCTGGTTGTTGACACAATTCGTAACTATAAAAACGAACAACAGCAAGATTCGAATAATCGTATCTCCCCTTCCCAAATTGTCCATTTTTCTGCACAATCTGAGCGTGAATTACGGAGACTTTACTGTAGTTCGGTACGTGTCGTAACAAGGACACGTGCACCACCTGTGAATTATTTCACGTGCATTTAAATACTAATTAATACGTTTAAATGCATGCGTCAGCTGTCCCACTCCTTGCGTAACTCGTTTACGCGTGCATTTAAATATACATATGTACGTGAAGTAACTCACGGGTATACGTGTTCATAACACTATGCCGTCCGCGGATCTTAGATATGATTCTTTGGTTCGACGCCGCCATAATAGCTTGGAAATTCTAGATTAAAAAAAAAAATTTCGAAGATGGCGGTAATATAAATTCCTAAAATTACGATATGTCATCCAAGAATTTTCGTACTTAATTCTTGGTTAAATAAGCACAACGCTATAGTTAGTTTGCTGCCTTTTAACAGCCAAGAAATATAGTTCAAATGTTATTTTTAATAATTTTTTGAAATGGCACCAAAGTGGTACCACCGGCATACAACAGATAGCTTTTGCATGGCACCAGCGTGGTGCCACCGGACGGCATAGTGTTAAGATTACATGTACCGAAGTACGTGCATACGAATTTCACGTGTACACCACGCGTATTTAACCTTTTAGTTAAGATTCTCAAACGTTCGACGATACGAGAAAGATCGCGCTATCATGAAGAATCGCTTATTGGTTGGAAAAATGGAAAAATTGGGAACGAAAAATGGCCGCGCGACAGACAGTCCAGGATTATCGGAGCGTCGCCGACGAACGAAAAACAAGGGGAACAGTGTGTGTGTGTGTCCGTCGACCACTTGGCCAAGTGTTTGCATAGAAAGCACAGCCCGAGAATCTCAACGAGAAGGCACTCGAATCGTCCCAAAAATATCTAATCTCGCTCGAAGAGGCGCGTCGAAGGCGCGTAATCACGCGCCGAGACCTACCTGCGAGCAATCCCAGTTGGTATCGTGGCGATTCCGTTCGAATTTGCCATAATTTCTCCATAGCTCTCATCTCGTACCTTCTATTGGAACACGAATATATTGTCCCTTCCGCGATAATCGAATTCGAACGCTGTTCTACAGTTGCTCCCAATAACGTTCGGACATCTTTTAAAACGCAATAACTTTTTTAAGGCTAATATAATAATATAATATAATTTTTTTTATATTATATTTATATTTATATTATATATATTATATTATTATATTATTATAATGTTTAAATTTATATATTATTTAATTTATTATTAAATTATTCGATAAATTAATAAATAATAGAGAAGCGTTCTATGATCGCACACGTTCAATTTCCCACGTATCAAATAAAAAGCAATCGTAACAAGTGGAAATATTGTAGATCGAAACGAATGCCTTAATTTTGGAGTTAAAACAGCCTCGAGTGCAAAGGTTTTTAATAAATTAATACCAGAAATTTTCGTCACGAGTCGGACTCGTCGTGGTACGAGAATGGGTTAACGGGAGCCGCTGTGTGCAGCGTAAATTAGAAATGCAAAGCGCCGATACTTTTCTACGTTTGGTGGCTGGTTTCAGGGAACGCGTCGTTTCTGCTGCAAACGGAGGACTGTAGCGCGGGCCGGCACCTTCTGCTGTCGAACAACCTGCAGGACGGGGGTGCGGACAGCGACACGAACAGCCATTCCGGCCTGATCGTCGAGGAGACGACGCTGACGTCGACGAGCCACAGCTGCAACGCCCGGCAGAAGAGCAACGGGAACAACAACTACGAGATGCGAGAGTTCAACAGGAGGCTGCTGCTGTCGAACGGCGGCAGCCCGGTCACGGGGATAACGACGGCCGGTCAGGGCAGGCGCACCTGACTATGGAAGTGGTTGCGAAACACCTCGAACCGACTCCTCTACAGGAGCAACCGGTCCGCCGAGATCACCGTGTATAAGTAAGCTCGCGTGCGCGCTTATCGGCCTCTGCCCTATGCCCGATGGCGAACGGCTTACGGCTTGTGTCTTACGTCTTGCGTCGTACGTCTTGCGTCTCCTGTCTCGCGACTCGTGGCTCGCGAGAGCTCGCGGAACCGTGAAACGGTGCTCCGGCTCCCTTAAAGTCCCTGCCCTGCCGCGAAAGCGACCACCGGCCGCTCCTCGGATTCATTTCCAAAGCTGAATCGGAACTGGGTCAGCCCCGTGCCACCTTGACGTAACCGCTCCACCCGGGATAGGGCCAGGGAGATGCTCGATTCCCGTTCCCGGGTAAGGTCCAGCGCGGGGCTCGGAATTAAGTGCGCGCGGCACGGCTACGCCACCCGAGAAGTCACGAGAAGTCGCCGCGCAAGGAGCGCAGCGGCGACGCACGCGCAGAGACTTCCGCGCAGGCGGCGTGGCCCGTCTACCGGGTGAACATTGTAATTCTGAACTACGATGGCGACGCGACGCAGAGCCACTGCCCGTTTCGCAGTTCAAAATTGTAACGTTCGCTGGGTAAACACCCTGCGTCTCTGCGCGCATGTCTCCCGCGCGTGCGTCGCCTGCTTTCGCTACTTGCGTAGCGACTTCGCGCGTAACGCAGCACACATGAAGCAACAGGCACACGCGCCCGACGTGCTCCGAGCCGAAAGTGGCGACCACGGGGGAGCGAGACGCTGCGACGAGAGTCGGGAGGCGTAGCCCTCGATGTCGCCGTGTTGCGTGCACTTTAATTCCGAGCCCCGGTCCAGCGGACTCGCGATCGCGATCGCCTCGAGCTCGCTTCCGGCCGACGATTCTACTCTCCGAGGGTAGAAGCGAGAAGGATCGGGCCCTCGGGCACGGTCGGCTCTGCTCTCCTCAGGGCCCGAGGGCCCGAGGGCCTTTCGGGCCAGTTCATGTTTCAGTCTCGCGAAACGTCTCGTGTGCGGCGTGTGTTCGCGCTGCCCGTAGTCGGCGTTCTCGCGTGACCGATCGTCGTCGATTCGGCTCCCCTTTTAGACTTTAGAATACTGAAACGGATTGGAATCGTCCTGCGAATATCGAAGCGACCGAAACACGACCTATGCGTCGCTCGCAAGCTGCTCGGGAAGAAAGCAACCGATCGATCGCGGGGGCGGGAAACGGCGGCGTGATCCGAGAGAACGGTACTTTTCCTAGTCGAAGAAACCGGAAAGGTGGAAGCGGACGAGAATACAATAATTAGATCGTAGTGTACAGAAGAAAACTAAAGATATACAGACATGTAACGAGTATATACGCGATACGCACGCACGCACGCGCGCGCGCGCGCGCGGAGAGAAGCGGACGGTTTTTTTCAATCGAAACGATCGGAAGCGCATCATTCCTGAGAAGACAATACACGCGCTCGTAGAGACGGTAGACCAAACCGCAAGCGAACCGGTGGACACGTTCGAGCTATTGATTTTTCCTGCGTCCGCAATCGTGTTCCGGTTTCGCAGGTGCACAAGCTAGTTCCAAATCGAATCCGATGGAGGGTTTGTGTTCGATTGCTCTCCTCCCTCTCTCTCCCTCTCTCTCTCTCTCTCGTATTCCCCTGTCAAAGCGACAGCTTTACCCCTCGAAATTGCGACAACTTGTTTCTCTGTCCCTCGATACCCTTTCGCGCGCGATTCCAGCGACGACGCCCACGTTCTCCCGTTGCCTCGAAAACTTGGAACGGTCGGGCCCCGCGAGAAGACGAAAACGAGACGAAAAGGAGACGAAAACCGCGCGAAAGGAAGAGAAAAGCTTTCAGGCCTCGTTCAGAGAGTCTCGAGAGAGAGCCTCGATCGACGAGCAATTAACCTTTTAGGTACGGCTGAATTCTGCGCGAGGCTATTTCTCTGGACGGCAGAGTCTGATACTGTATATACAGGGTGTCCCAAAAATGTCTCGCAATCCGAAAGTGGCGGGTTCCTCGGATCATTCGAAGCAGCTTCTTCCTTTACAAAAATGTTCTCCGAGGCGCCGTTAACGAGTTATTAATGAAAAACGGTGACGAATGAGAGGCGAGCTCGGCTGGCGCGAGGCGATCGAGCCAATGAGCGGAACTAGGCTTCGCGCACTGGTCGGCTGGGCCGCCTCGCGTCAGCCGTACTCGATTCTTATTGGTCACTGTTTTTCGTTGATAACTCGTTAACGGTGCCTCGGAGAAAATTTTTGCAAAGGAAGAAGTTGCTTCGAATGATCCGAGGAACCCGCCATTTCCGGATTGCGAGACATTTTTGGGACACCCTAGACTGTTGTAAATCGATGCGAAGACAAAAGAAGCGTGAAACAATGCATACGAAGACGATTATTTGGTTCGAACGATGAGCGGGTGAGCTACTAGAGCAAGCCACTATAGCGGCGCGTCTTGCCTAAATGGTTAAGGCTCCGCGATCAACGGTGTTTCGCTGTCTTTTTTTCGGCGAGGGCGCGACGGGACGCGGAAGAATCCTGGAACATAGGAAAACACTCGTCCAATGCTTGAATCGCGCGCACAAATGCGCGGATGCACAAGTGCCGCGAACGAGACGTGCACGCGCACGCTCTCGAGAGAATATCAGAACCAGACCACCGTTCATATTTTTCTATTAGAACCCTCCCCCGTAACCTAAGCCACCCTCTATTGAGAGCACCGCCAACGAGGAAGCTCGGGAATCGTTAACAGCCGAAAATTCGGAACTCTCTTGTGCGGGCAAACTCGCGGTGAAGAGCAAATATATTTTTCGTTGGTATGAAACCAATGAGTGAGATCAGCCCCTGGAGCCGTGGCGCCTCACCCGCACCGGAGACTTCAACATTTTCCTCGATTCCCGAGCGTTCCTCGCTCCTAAATACTAAATACAAAATAGTAAAAAAGAAAATACTAAATACCGAATACTAAATACTAAATACTAAATATTAAATGTTAGACGGGATCGCGGTCTCGTATTTTCGTACAGGCGAAGAGATCGATCGCCGCGCACGGGAAATCGCGCGCTCGCGGATTTCAATTTTGGCAGGAGAAAATTGAACCGGGGAACCGTCTCGGAAATCGTCGGGCCACGCCGGCCCGTAGATTTCCGCGGGCCGGACGGGAAGTGCTCGAGCTCGATCGTCGAACGATCGCTGAACGATCGACCGTTCTCGTGGACTGTAATTGCGAGGGGCAGCCCGTCATCGATGTTCCTAAAACCCGGCGCATAGAGGCACAGGGGCCGACCAATCCGTTGACCAACCGATTCCGTTGATCGTGAAAAACCTCGGTATAACTCGGGATTCGAAACGCGGGACGCCGCGGGCCGCGGGTCGCGCGACTCGAAACCGAACACAGCTGTTCCAGTAGAAAACATTCCGATAATACTTTTTACCGTTCTATACATTTTTAACCGCGGCGTATCTCCGGTAACAGGTTAGTCGTATAACTCGCGTACCTTCTGTTCGTTGGAAGCTTGCTCGAATCAGGGTCCGTAGCACGATACGCGATTTTCAGGGTACCTTCGTAGCTAAGGGCCCTCGTCCGGGGAGTTTCCGAGAGCTCCGGCGAAATTCCGTTGAATTTCTGGGAATATTCGCGAAACTCTCCGGGACCAGGGCCGCGCGTTCGTTCCGTCGAATTTCGGTAGAACGATCGAAATTCGGTCGCTTCGTTTAGATAAAAATAACGAATTTTCCTGGAGAGCCGGATATGGGACCGTCTGCCCGGAGAGAGCCCGTTCAACGACACCGAGCGAGATTCTCGGTAAACTCGATTACGTAGCTCCGTTTCGGCTGTATTTTTAGAGCGACGATTTTGATTGACGCTTGGACGCTTCTCGCAGCGCGTCGCCCATGTAGAACGATAGATAATCACGTTTCGGGGATAGCAGACAGGATTTCTATTAGGTATTTATACCGCGCGCGAGACTGTAGGAAACGGTGGAGGCGGCAGAGACGATAGAAAATAGGTCTCTTTTGCCCGAGGGCTCGCACGCGGACGGAAAAGACTAGAAAAAAGAGCGGCGAGAAACCTAGCAAAGACTAAGAAAAACTAACAAAAAGGAAGACTGCAGCCACCGAACAAGTTAGACTACGGTAAAACGAGACCAAGCACGCGTAAAAACCTACCGGGGTACCACGACAACGTCCTAACCGCTTCTAAATAACGTATGACCAAATCAAAATGTAGAGAATTGCCGTGTTTCTTTTACGAGAGAAAAGACAAAAATAGAAAAAAGAAAGAAAAAGAAAAACAGAACCGCGACACACAGGACGAGGGGTGGTTTCTAAGGCTTTTTAGAGATCGTTCCCGAACCCCTTCGAGCAGCCCGTGACCAACGATGGCAAATGGCAAACGGCGAACGGCTCGCGTTGCGCGTGTTGCAGGAAAAGTGTATCGAAAATTCTCGGAGAGATTTGTCAGAGAAGCAACCACCCCTGGTTCGACGGAACGCGCGCGACGACGACATTTTTACGCGTCGTTCATTTCTAAGACTCCTACGACGACGACGACGACGAGGAGGACGAGGGTAGACGTTATTCAAACATTGCCGAATATTTTCAGGTATAAAGTTGACCGTACAATTTACCACATCCACACAGTACACTTTTCCTGCGACAACGCGGTTCGCAGCGGGTGCAAGATCTGCGCGACGCGACCCGGGCCGAGCCGAGCCGACGCTAATCAGTGACAAGCTGACGAGCTGGCGAGCCGACGGGACGACGAGCCGACGAGCTGACGAGCGACGAGAGTGACGCGGTGGCCGACCGACGAGCGTCGTTTTCGATAATCAGCGGCCGGCCGAGCGAACGGGGATCGCCGCGAAACCGAAGATCAGCGGATAGGAAACGCAGCATTCTCGAATGCACACAGTGCGGAAAAGTGGCCGCGCGGGAGTCGGACGCAAAGGCCGAGGAGAACTGCGAGGAGGCGCCAAATAAAAACTGGAGTGAAAGGAAAGCGCACCAGGGGCGCGCGACCCTTCGTCGACTACTTCGTCGTCTCTTCTCGCCCCGCCTCGCCTCGCCTCGCACGCGACTACGCTCGAGATCGATTACTTTTGTAGATTTGTTTTTTGCGGCGAGTTTCCTACACGTAAAAACACGCGCGCGCGTCACACGAGTTCCCGTCTCGCTTCCACCCTCGACCCTTTTTCTCTCCCTTCCCGAGTCCTCCATCGCGACGAGGCGAGGCGATGCGGGGGTGTACACCACCAGACTCGGAGCCGTTGAATACTGATTTTTATGCGAGTCACGCGAGTAGTATGTCACAGTACAATGTAACTATCGTTGCCGATCAGATATAATCCGTACGCAGAGTCGGGACACGTTCAAGTAGAGTTTGATTAAAGCAAAGATACGAGGGGTTAGATACTCGCGCGAATACCCGATCCATCGTGCACGCGGCCGATCCGACGATACGAGAGCAAGTTTTGCAAGCTCTCGTCCGAACGGTACGGGCCATTTCATCTTCGAGCAACGAAGCGCGTTCCCATCGGATCGATAAACTCCCAACAGCCGGGAATACACCATAGACGTATAGGGAAAATTATACGGGCTGCGGCAAAACATATAGTTAACACGTTGAATGCCACGGGGGTCACCGGTGACCGGCGCTTAACTTGGCGGTGACGCCATGGGGCCCACCGGTGACCGGCGCGCCCAAATTCATAGGAATATATATAATTTCAAACAAATGTGAATATCTAAAATTTTCTATTATTACCATCGTCGATTCAAGCTGTAATCCCCGTCGCGATTAACACGTCAAACATGGTTATACACTGTAACTTATCTTCATTCAATTCAAGAAAATTCATCGTGGCGCCACGGACAATTTCTGTAAAACCGGCGTGGCATTCGACGTGTTAATATTCAACGTTAAGTTGACGTTAAGTTAACGTTAACATTCAAAGTATATTCAACGTTAAGTTTCTTCTCGATTTCGAGAACCGTCGATCGCCGATAAAACGGCAGGTCCGCGAGTGTCTAATCGCTTCGAAATAAAAGGGAGGAAAGAAAACAAAGAGAACGTTATTCGCGATCTTAATGGCCGCGAACCATTCGGCACCGAACCGTGAACGAAATTGGAAAACGCGAAAGGCGAAAAGGTAAAAGGAAAAGTAACGCGGCGCGGTGCGGCGTTCCACTTTCCGGGGTGCATTTTCGCTCGTGCAGCGACAAACTCGAGGCTGTTATTTATACGCGCGCGTTGCTCGCGATGAAACTTTCGCGAACGATATCGGGCAGATATATCAAAAGGTTAATCGTTGATCGTCACGCGAGCCTTTCCCCCGGCCGGTCCGACTGCGTACGGCGTATGGCAAACGCAAACAAAACGCGGCCATTGCGGCGATCATATTTCGAAAACACGCGACCACGACGACGACGACGACGACGACGACGACGACGACGATCGCGGACACACGATAGTTACGATGGACTACGGTGGTGTACTACTGCCAAAAACAATTCTGCGAATCTAGAAAATCTCTTTTCTTTTCCGTCGATAATTCCGTCGAAATTCCGTTCGAAAATACATACAGAACGTCGAAGAGAGAGAGAAGCCAGCGAAAGGAGCCGGGACGACACCGCGCTTCTCTCTCGAAAAGCGTTTCGATAAATGCTTCCAAACCGAGATCAGTGAAAAATGGCTAGTATAATAAGTAGCGGGCGCTCGAACGAGAGATTCCGTTTGTTCCAAGCTACCATCGAGAAATCCGCGTGAAACGTCCGCGGGCCGATCGCGACGCGCGTCGCGCAGTGGGGAACAGCGTGGCGGTCCGGCGGTTTTGCGCGTCATCAAAAGATCTACTAACAATAATGTAATAAATCTAGAACAGACGGCGGAGGGTAAGAGAAATTCTGAAATAGTTCTTTTTATATGTATAAAAGTATAAAACGCGGATACGCGCAGCGCGAGTAGCCTGTATCGATCTGTGCTGTAAGCCGTAAGCTGTAAGTCGTATGAATACGAGATACGATACTCAAAGTAATTGGCTTCCTAGCTAGGATTAATCGAGTCTATAGGATTATACGTTTTACCAACGCAATGATAATGGACACACTGTATTAGTAGACTGTATATAGCGGTGTATGGTAGAGAGTACAAGTTAAGTCGTCGATCGTCTGCTTAAGAAAAAAGCCGTTAAACAAACCGTGAAACTCTTTGTGTTTGATCTTGCCGCCCTAGCGAGTAACGCGCCTAGCGAATGTGTCGGACGTTTAATTAACAGTAAATATCAGTCTGGACAACAGGGTATCATTAGCACATCGTACATTGAGACGCGCTCGATTACCGGTGAGAGAAGACGCCATTCGTCTAACGTCGCGAGACCCCTTTCGTTCTTTCGAACCGTTTTGTCACGGGTTTCCTCAGCCCCTATCCGGTCGAACGCATTCCATCGTTGATTTCGATTGATTTTCACGAACCGCCGCGATCAACCCCTAAGCGAGCATTCGCGTATCGTTCGCGGCGAACCATCCGAATAGCTCCAAGGTAGGTACCGGTTAGTTCCGAGTGTGTAGTTTCGAATAGTCTCCGGTCTCGAGTAGTCAAGGGTTCTTTCTTAATCAGGCCATCGAATTATCGTTAAATGTACTAAGCTAAGCTAATTATATGAAAGCTTACACCTCGCAGACGTACAGCCTCTGCCACTAAATGTACATAAGGGACGTTATACACCCATGCTCGTATACAGGGTGAAACCGACACGACTCGAACGCCTCCGGACGCGGCGTCTCCGTTGGTTCTCGAGGACGCGCGACGGCTACAGATCTCGGAGGTAAACGCGATTCCATTCGATTCGAACGGATCGATATCGCGAAGGGCTAACGATTCTTCGCAAGGTCATCTACATCTTCCTTTCTTTCTCTCTCTCTCTCTCTCTCTCTCTCTCTCTCTTTCTCACCCCTTCAACGGAAGTACATATTTTTATCATCGCGGACCGTGGCGCAATAGTCGAGGTCAAGACCGATCCAATGACCTACGGCGTTGTGACCTATTTTTCTTTATATCTTTTAAACTAAACCGAAGCGACGACTTTTTATATAGGAAAAGTTGCTCAAGACGTTGATCTTCGTAACGCGTTTCAAGGTCATTGAAATCAAACAGATTTTTAATAATTTTATAGCCATTTATACGATCGCTCAAAGCCATAACACGGCCGTGTGTGACGTAGGTCTTTGGATCGGACTATTTTCCACCCTTCGGTCAGATCGTATTCGATTCGCCGACGTTGTTTCCTCCAACGTCGTAAACGGACGAGACATTTTGGATGCTCGAGCCGGACTGGATCACCCTGTATGGACATATATGTACATGTATAACGAGAGGTAGCGTAAATTGATTTTGAACTGATGATTTTAGATAACGTTACCGCAAGCCGCCCAAACGCGAAACAGTCTGTACGCCACCTTTTCGATTAGACCTCGAACTGTTAACTTTCGCCTGCTACGGGATATCACGACCGGCTACGTTCCATTATGATTATTATCTTGTGGATTCCTTATGGGCTTTCGTTGACTTCGTCTGATTTGTTTAAACGGTTGGGCTTCGTCGAATCCTCACGTGTCGTATAATAATTGTATAGCGAACGAAAGACTTCGTATCTCTATGTCCCCCCCCCCCCCCCCCCCCCCCCCC